AAGGTTAAGAACAACAACAGCAATAATCTTAGAACTGCGGGGACCCTCTGGATCATTAGAAGGGACCCTCTGGATCATTAAGTCCAGCCCCTGTCAATGAGGCCCAGTGGGGGAATTGAACCCCCAACCTCAGGCTCCACAGCCAGAAACCTAGACCACCGAGCTATTCAGCAGCTGCTAAAACTGCAACAAGAACAAGTGGTTTGGATGCATTTTAGGACATCTTCTGAAACTCCATCAACTTGCTGCCAGTCGGAGTTGGACAGTACTAGATGAGATAACTCAACGGTCTGATTCCTTGTATACCGACCAGATAGGCGGGATATAAATAAAATAAATAAAAAATAAATAAAATACAGCAGATTCCCAGGGTCCTCTACATAAATCTGGATCCTTCTACCCCTCCAATAACCAATTCCAAGTAATTGTTACAAATCTCTGATTCTTTCATGCAGACCGACAGAAACTTTGCCAGAACATGAATGGCTTCTGCTATTACAAACGTTCCCGTTGCCCCACCCGGCACAGCGAGGTGCTTCCATTCAACTGTCTTAAAGGCCGAAAATGCTGCAAGCGCCCGTAAAGCTTCAGACCCCTGGGTTGCAGCATGTTTTCGTTAGTCAACCTGATTTCCTGAAGGCTGATCTTTATTTGGGGAAGTCGGTGAGGCTCTACGTTATGCCAAAGAAGGCATGGATAAATCCACAGGATCTCATCATTAAATGCATGATTTAAAATGAAGAATGGACGTCCTGTTCTTTTAAGGAGTTCATTGGGCCAGATCAAAATATTTTTCTGCCTGAGGCAAAGGACAAGAAATTAGGGTGGAAAGATATCCGAAACTAAAAACCACCATATCCAAAACTAAAAACCACAAAGGAACGCATTAAACTCCATTTAATGTGTTCCTATGGGGGAAAAACTCACCGGTAAGCGAAGATTCCCCCTCCGGCCGCCATTTTCGCTGCCTTGGTAAGCAACGTCAGGGCACGAAAACGCTGCGGGCGGCCATTTTGTTGATGCGGCGCCCATTTTGGAATCACCGATCAGCTGTTCTAAAAACATCGCAATGTGATAATCGGTAAGCGAAACGCTTACCGATCATCGCAATGCGATGTTTTGCCATATAAAACATCGCAATGCGATCGTAAAAATGATAGCAAAAAACGAATCGCTATGCGGATTCGTCGTTAAATGGTGCACTCATTAAGCGAGGCACCACTGTATTTCCACTCTAGTTACACAATGGTGATGGAAGAACACTCTCCACCTTGTCTAAGACAGTAAATTAGCTGGGGGTGAGGTGGGGTGAAGGGAACACAGCTGAGGAGGAACATAGGGGGACCTTCACCTTCTACCTCTGGCAAGGAGGCACAGAGGTGCGGGCTGTCCTGCATTCCGATCTGTACAAGGCTGTAATGCAATGGTTCCCGACTTTGGGTAATGCAGTCATTTTCCAAGCTGGTGGGGAAAGCTTCTGGGAATTGCAATCCAAGAACAGCTGGGTTACACAAGGTTGGGAACCATTAACTTTGGGGAGGGAAAGAAGCCACCCACCTGGCCCCTTTTTAATGTATGGGGATATAAGTAATGAGGACATGTGCTTTGGCTTTCATTTCTGCATTATTTTGCTATGGTCCTAAGTGTTATTGAAAAGTGAACTCCATGGAAATGATCGACAGTCAAAACTATTGTACTGTACTTTTGATTGTTGTAAGCCGCCCAGAGACCTTTGGGTAGAGTGGGCGGCATATAAGTTAAATAAATAAGAATAAACAAATAATAATAAGAAAAGCTGAGTAAACACACCTGCCTTTCGGGTGCCAGGCTGACCTGTGAATGGATCTGACATAAGGGGTCATTTTTTGTGGTGCGGAACTGTTGAGAGGGAGTTGTTGTTCCTGATTTAGTGAGCAACCTCATGTGGATCTGTCTCTCCAATGTCAAGCAGAGCTTTTCCGAGAATATTTTGTGGATTATTTCAAATGCAGACAGGAACTCCACCTGTATCTAAGCCGTGTGGCCCCTGTCCCTCACAGGGTTGGCAGGTAAGGCTCGCTCCATGCCCGTCTCCTATGACTTCACAAAGTCCAGTTGGAGCCCAACAGGATTTATAGAAATAGGTGGAAGGAAAATAACAGTCCCAGGAAATTGATCCCCTCCTGCCACGTTTGTCATGATTTACTTCAGTAAACAAAAGGCAGAGTCCGATAAGCCAGTCCAAAGTCAGAAGCCAGAGAATCAGTCAGAACCAGCAGTAATAATGCTGGAGTTAAGGAATCAAAAAGAGAAGTCCGGGTCTGGTCCACGGGTCAAGAAAGCTCCAGGAAATACCAAGGCAAGTTGCAGGGAAAGACAACAGCTGTTTCCTGGACCGATTCATCCTGGGGGGCCTGCTTTCTATGGGGCGTCCATGCCTTTCCATTGCTCTCAGCTGAAGTCCTTAGCCGGGATCCTTCAGTATTACACATTGGTCTCAGCTGAGCCCATAACTGAAACGGTACACACTTGTCTAATTGCACAGTCCCAGTTCAGGCCAGCCCCCAAGTTAGCTCCATCGGGGCCCGTGAGCTCTTAGTCTCCCTCAACGGAGGTCTCCACAGGATACCAACGGCTGGGCCCTGAGGAGAGACAACTTCTAAGTCCACAGAGGGATCAAGGCTTGAGGCTCACTAGTATTGGTTGAGGAAACTAAGATCATGGCCACTGGTCTCATCACCTCCTGGCAAATAGAAGGGACATATAGGGAGATATGGTCCTTCAGGTCGCCTGGACCCAAGCTATATTGGGCTTCATAGGCAGTGACTAGCCCTTTGAATTGGACCCAGAAACGAACTGGTAGCCAGTGCAGTTTTTGTAACAGGTGCACTATATGCTCCCTGTCGCTGGCCCCAGTCAGTAGTCTGGGTGTATTGCACCAGCTGAAGTTTCTGAACCATCTTCAAAGGCAGCCCAACATACAGCGTGTTACAGTAATCCAAACGGGATGTAATTAAGGCATGTGTCACTGTAGCCAGATCTGACATCTCAAGGAACGGGTGCAGTTGGCGCACCAGCTTTACTTGTGCAAATGCCCTCCTGGCCACCACCGAGACCTGGGCATCCAAGCTTAGGGATGAATCCAGGATTACACCCAAGCTGCGGACCTGAGTTTTCAGGGGGAGTGTAACCCCATCCAGCACAGGTATTCCCTATTCCCTCATCTACTTTCCAACTAACCAGGAGCACCTCTGTCCTTGTCTGGATTAAGTTTCAGTTTAATCTAAGCCTTAAAATGCTATCAGGTTAAGGTCAGAGACGACAGTTCTCAGGACCTGTCCTTGCTCCATTCAAAAGACTGAATGCAGGGATAGCAATGGTGAAGACAAGGGCCCTACTTCACTGTTGCAGCTCTTGGCAGTGTGACTTTTTGGTTAGAAAAAACCTCTAGTTCTTCAGGAGAAAAAGATTCAGGGACCTACAGAGCAGAATTAGCTTCAAGTCCCCCCCGAGTATACTACCCCGTATTGTTTGTTCGCCTCAACTGGCACCTATAGTCTTAATAACTCACTCTGAGACATTGGTAAGAGGAAAAATAAAACGTCCCATCCACTCACAGTTTGGAACTGATGAAAAACAGTAGAAAAATAATGACTGATTACATGAACAGAGCTTAAATTGTCTCAGAGTCTTCTCATTGATTAACTACGTGACTGAATACATAAGTAATTGACCACAGATAGGTACTGACTGATTACATACTATTAACTGAACACTAACTGAAAAAAAGTGGGAAAAGACTCTTAAGTCAAGGGGCATGTCTGTTTTCAAAAATCTGAGGCACAGAAGGAACAATTGGTTCTTTCTGGATTGACGGACAGTCTCCCCAGCCCAGCAAAATCTCTTAAAGGCAGCATACGAAGGTTAAGAACAACAACAGCAATAATCTTAGAATTGCAGGGCTAGAAGGGACCCTATGGATCATTAAGTGCAGCTCCTGACAAGGAGGCCCAGTGGGGGGATTGAACTCCCAACCTCAGGCTCCACAGCCAGAGACCTCAGCCTCTGAGCTATCCAGCAGTTGCTAAAATTGCAGCAAGAACAAGTGGTTTGGGTGAATCTTAGAACATCTTCTGAAACTCCACCAACTTGCTGCCAGTCGGAGGTGGACAGTAGTAGATGAGATAACTCAATGATCTGATTCCTTGTATACAGCAGATTCCCAGGGTCCTCTACATAAATCTGGATCCTTCTTCCCCTCCAATAACCAACTCCAACTAATTGCTACAATTCTCTGCTTCTTTCATGCAGACCCCGAGAAACTTTGCCAGAAGATGAACGGCTTCTGCGTCGACAAACTTGCCCGTTGCCCCACTCCGCTCAATGAGATGCTTCCATTCAAGTGTCGTGAAGGCCGAAAATGCTGCAAGCGCCCGTAAAGCTTCAGGCCCCTGGGTTGCAGCATGTTTTCGTTAGTCAACCTGATTTCCTGATGGCTGATCTTTATTTGGGGAAGCCAGTGAGGCTCTACCTACTTCATGCCAAACAAGGCATGGATAAATCCACAGGATCTCATCATTAAATGCATGATTTAAAATGAAGAATGGACGTCCTGTTCTTTTAATGAGTTCATTGGGCTAGATCAAAATATTTTTCCACCTGAGGCAAAGGATAAGAAATTATGTTGGAAAGATAGCCCACATTGGTTGTTGAAGATGTTTTGGGCTGTTTGGCCATGTTCTGGAGGTTGTTCTTCCTAACGTTTTGCCAGTTTCTGTGGCCAGCCTCTTCAGAGGAAAGGAGTTAGAACTCTGTATGTGACCAGAGCCCCAAAAAAACTACAACAACCATTGGATCCTGGCTGTGAAAACCTTCAAAAATACCTATTTCCACTTTAGTTACACAATGATGATGGAAGAACACTCTCCACCTTGTCTAAGACAGTAAATTAGCTGGGGGTGAGGTGGGGTGAAGGGAACACAGTCGAGGAGGAACACAGGGGGACCTTCACCTACCTCTGGCAAGGAGGCACAGAGGTGTGGGCTGTTCTGTGTGCCGATCTGTACAATGCTGTAATGCAACGGTTCCCGACTTTGGGTAATGCTGTCATTTTCTGGTATTGCGGTATTGTGGGGCACCTTTATACTAAAGGGGAAAGATTAGGAGGACCTGCTGAGCACACTTGTACATTGCTGTCACATGCCTTCCAGTGTCCTCCAACTTATGGTGACCTTGTGAATAAAAATATCATCAAATCATTGAGTTGGAAGGAGCCCACCCTTGAATCCGCACCCCTGCTCAAGGCAGGAATCCAAATCAAGGCTCCTTCTTGTGGGGGGCAGGAGCTCTTTACCAGCCACCCCGGCTGAGGGCGAGCGCAGGATGCCAGTCCAGTGGCCGAGGAAGGAGGGGAAGAGCGAGCCTTTCTTAAGGCTGCTTGCCCGATGCGCTGCCTCTTGCGGCTAAATCGCCTGAAGAGTGGGGAGCAGGTGTGTGGTAGCCCAGGCGAGGTGCTTTAGATTTCGCCCTGGGGCCTGACACGCACCTGTGAAGCATGGAGGGTTGCGCAGCTGTGCCACCCATGGTTTGGAGGCTTGGGGGGTTGAAGGGAAAGGTGGTTGGCAGAGGTTGGGCGAACCAGACGTTCAGCGGGCTGAGCGGGGCACCTTCCATTCTGCCCAGGGCCTTGTGCATGCTGGCTGACGCTGGAGGGTGGCGCAGGGGCACGACCAGCCATTGGGTTGGTGGGGGAAATGATCCCCTGTGCCCACAGAGGTGTGTGTGTGTGGGGGGGTTGGTCGAATTTGGAGTTTGCAAGACCCCTTTTTAATAATAATCATTTAAAACAGCAACAATAACAACAACCCCCGAATAGACAAAAAAATAAAATAAAAAGGAAAGCAGCAGGGAGGAAGGGTGAGAGGGGGGTGCGGGCAGGACAAGCACATAGCCCAGATCCCATGCACCGACTGTAGGGCTTTAGCGTGGGTGGAGACCTATAGATTCCCTGCTGTGGTGCAAAGACAGTCTTAAGGTGCAGCAGAAATCTTAGCATCTGTCTTATTAACTGTAAACCTCTGTCAAGTCTCAGTGAGAAAAGCAGGGTAATTCCCTCCCCCAAAACAAACTTCAAGCGATGGGAAGAGACGTGTGTGTCCGTTTGTCCACCTATCACTCTGCTTCCATGAAGGAACCTGAAACAGCCTTACAGGCTTGTCAAGACTCAAAGGTGTTCCGTTTCAGCCAGGTTCCCCCATCATCTTTTCTGCAGTAAAAGGACCTCACATGTGGGCAAGAGGAAAAGTCATTGCCGCCTTTTGTTCTTGAGAAATCCTTTCTTGCTTCTTTGGCTAGTTGTTTCCATCTGTCTCCTTGCTGGTTGCGGACGTGTCTGTTGGTTTTCACGTGGGTCTGTCGTGTGTCCTTCTACGATTGTTGGCATTTGCTCTGGGAATCTTCTTTTGGGGGAGTGTATATATATATATGTATGTATATGTATGTTTGCATATGTGTATGTCTCTCTCTGTCTCTCACACACACATACACACACACACACACACACACACACATATATATGAGACATTCATCATGACAATCATAAAACGTATATATCAGGAGCATCAGGAGGCGGTGACTGAAAATGTTCATCAGGCAAACAACTGGTACCCAGACAACAATGGTGGAAGAGGAGGTGTGTGCTCAACAGACGACAGGGCAGATGGAGGGCGATGAAGAGGCGGCAAGGCTCAGAGCACCGGACCACCCAGGACCCAGTAGCCTAGTAGTCACAGCTTCTGGTTTAGCTGCTCCAGGTGAGTCTGCACCTACACGAAACACATCGGTTGGACAGAGGCGTATGGCGATGGGGTCCTGTTACCTCACCTGGCAGGACACCAGCTGTCAGACAAAGTTACTACGCCCCCGTGGGAGTCAGCACGCCATGTAGTGGGAACAGAGTCCAAGGGGGAAAACCTTGGACTGCCTCATATCCACAATGTCCTTTACCTGGTCAGACAACCTGGGGTTCCTCAGCTCCCAGGAGCCGTGACCCCCCCTCTCACTCTGAATACGGGATATAATTCTGTTGCCAGAACCACTTCTCCCTAAAGAGATAGCATCTTGGGCGAGGAGTCTCTGTAGGTGCGAGCAACCACCACTTTTTATAACGGAAGCAGGTCCTTGAGCTTCAGAGGTGCGTAGCCCTTGTCCTATGGACCAGCTCAACCTAAAAATAGACCTCTTGCCTCCTTACAAGGCAATAAGCCATTCACTGTGTGCTTCCTTAGACAGCACAACAGACAGACCAGGTAGGACCTCTCTGTTATAGTAGCCATGAGTGACCTTTCCATTCCACACTGGATTTAGGTGCAGTCCTGCTGTTCGAGAGATAAGTCCTGTGTTAGAATTTATTAAGAGAATCTTCCTCCCCTCTTTTCTCTCTTCTTTCCCTCTTTCACATACATGAAAGAGGGAAAGAACAACCATTTTTCTCCTTGTCCCCAGACCACCTTCTTTCTTACATTTTCAAGTTGTTAACCAATTAGGATTATGAGGGCGTAACAAAGTTCACCGCCCCTATTTCACATGAGATCTGCAGGTGTTTATCTTGTTCCCAATTAGGAGGAACGTGGTGTCTGGTCTTTTTCTGTTCTTCTCTTCATCTTCTCAGACTCTGTTCCTTATCTTGGAGCAAGTCCAGAGTAAACTCGGAACAACAATCCTATGACAGCATTCAGTGTTTTAAATTCAAACTATACAGAAAACTTAACAGACTCCATCTTTATATGACTACAGGTCCCATATGCTTACGAGGGGTTCTGTATGCACACAGCCATCCATAGGAGCAGGAGGGCGCACATGCGGGCTAGTGCACATGTGCAAATGATGGTGCGGTGCTTGTGCGGGCACTTGTGTGCACAAAAGGATGGGGGAGTGGTTGGGTGGGTGCTGGTGCACACGTGCACGCACAAAGGGGCTGTGCGAGGGGAGTCCGTGCAGGAGGGTGGGATGGTGGTCTGTCTCTGCGGCCCGGTCCGGCTCAGGCCACAGACCGGCACCGGGCCACGGACCGGGAGTTGGGGACCTCCGTTCTGGATGACAGACTTTCAAGTAGAATTCTCTGGGAAAGACAGTAATGCTGGGAAAAGTGGAAGGCAGCAGGAAAAGAGGAAGATACAAGATGGACTCACTTATTTCCTAAAGGAAATCACAGACTTGAGTTTACAAGAGCTCAGCAGGGCTCTTAAGGGCAGAGCATTTTGGAGGTCACTCATTCAGAGGGTTGCCTTGAGTCAGTGGCAACCTGATGGCACAAAACAACAGCCACTAAGCTTTCTCTTTTTGTCCTGGACCTTCTAGAGAGTTCTGTAACAAATAAATCGTTCCTAATTAAACCTCAAAGCATCTCAGACCCTTTCTGCTCTTTTGCACACAATAGATCCGTCCGGCACTCCAGGTTTGCCTTCGCCGAATTGTGACGTGTGCGTCTGTATTCTATTGTCCCCAGGATCTTATAAATAGAGGGGAAACTCTTGGTTCGATTGAGACTTTGATCCGGAGCTGCCCTTACGGCTTCTACCCAGGGCCACGGGAGACTTCAAGAGAAAACATCTGCCATGAAGAGTTATTACTTTCTTTTTGCTTTGGCCACCCTCCTTTGCCAGATGGGTTCAGGTAAGAGGAATGCTCAGGTTGCTGAACTGCAAAGGGAGAGACCCCTCAAAACGACCCCTCAAAACTACAACCACTCTGTTGTTATTATTTTAACCATAGAGTTCCCAACCTTGGGTCCCCCATGTTTTTGGACTAAACGAACCAGAAGCCTTCACCAGTAGCTGTGTTGATCACAACTAGTTTTTCTGGGGTTTGGAGCACTCAACATCCGGGCACCCAAGGTTAGGAACCACACATTTGAGGGATCTGAATAATTTTAGAAAGCACAGGCTCCGTGCCGTTCTGCATTAGCGCTATGCAGAATTCAGAAACATTATATTTTTAATCTTTGGTTTTCAGACTCCTTCAGGCAATGTGGCTGCAGCATTGTTTAGAGAGCTGTATTTAAAAGATATAATCTTTCTGTAGTACAATAGATAGTCATAAGAGAGTTGCCGTATTTTTCCATGCATAAGACTATACTTTTGTCTAAAATCGTTAGACTTAAAATTGAGCGCCGTCTTATACACGGAAGTAAGCTGAGGAGAGAACAAAAACAAGTGGAGGGGAAAGCAGGGATCAAAGCTATACTGCAGCGCTTTGATCCCTTTCCCCCCCACCCTTGCTAAGCCCTGCTTAGATTTCTTAATTTTGAATTAGAAAAGTGGGGAGGTGTCTTATACATGGTGGAATCTTATACACGGAAAAATATGGTAGCTCCCTCTTTTTAAGGATATGGTCAGCCTTCTGAGACATCAGCAGATGCTCTGTTGCTTACTGTGCTAAGCAATGAGTCTTGGCCCGTTTGAATCAATGGAACTGATGGAGGAGTTGACTCACCAACTTCCCACTTCTTATACATGGAAAAATACGGTAGCTCCCTCTGCTTAAGGATATGGTCAGCCTTCTGAGGCATCAGCGGATGGTCTGTTGCTTACTGTGCCCATTTGAATCAATGGAACTGATGGAGAAGTTGACTCACCAACTTCCCACTGATTCAATGGGCCTACTCTAAGTGAGACTATGCTAAGCTATGTAATAGTACTTACTTACTTATTAAATGTGCATAGCAACTGCAACTTAGTGTGCTAAGGATCTAAGCCATTGAATGAGAAGCAAGTTCCATGCAAGGGAGTGGCCCTTGAGTCTAGTTTGTGGCTTCTAGGTGCTCATCATCATCATGACTGAGAAGGCATTAGCATGAAAGATTGAGTTCCTATTAAGTGGCTATGTTTTTGTCCCCAGGACCAAGTGGGGACCACACTAGCCCAGAAAATAAGCAAAAAGTATGAAAGAAGTGAGGTCAAATATTGTTGCAAATCTGTTCTGCTATCTTTTAAGCTGGACACAAACTTTGTGTAATGCACTATGGGAAAGGACTGAAATATTTATAGAAGTCAGGCTATTTCCATGCATCAAATCAAAGGATGGTGTTAGCCTAATTTCTAGGCTATAGGTTTTGAATAAAATTTATATTGTCTTGTCTTGTTGTTCGCCTTAAGGATTGTAAATAAAAACTTAAAAAAATATTGTTGCAAATCTACTTTTGGTTATATTTTTGTGATTTCAAAGTTTTGGGGCTGCAAGCAGTTCCGCTGTAAAGCCAACAGTCCTTGAGGCTCCAGAAGCAGAAACGTATTCTTATGCTGATTTTGATGTATCTTTTTCCCTTATGAGGGGAGAACCTCGGCTGATATGGCCTTGGGGGCAGTAATTCCCTCACTTCTGCACTAGGTTGTCTAGGTAAGCTCATAAATGTGAAAGGACTTGAAGCCGAGACTGATGTGATCGCCACTTCATACTCTTGTTTCCCTCCATCCATGCTGGAGAGCAATGAATTGGTCAACTTCAAGATTATTTTTTTGGATCCCCAGAGACATTCTGAGCTCACGGCTGTGTCCCAGAATGGACCAAGTGGCATCACATCTTTTCAAAGAGAAGCCCTTGTGGTTTCTAATCCTTTCGACTCTCTCAAAACAGCCGTTGAGCTCCTCCAAAAACATCATTCTGAAATGCTGGTCTACTTCAGCTAGACAGCCCTACCACTATTCAACAAAAACTTTGAGGGGAAAAACCTTTACTGTTATGTTTTCTTTTTGTTGTGAGGGGAGACACAACAGGACCCAGTCACATTTTTCAGGGTCTCTATATAGAGTGGCAGTCTGAGAGGAAATAAGAATAGAGTTCCTAAGCTTGAGGTATGACTTCTGGAGTCTCCATCTTGGATTAGACAGATTGGGGCATTTGCTGCACTCAGCTGGCAGCTGTTTTGAGGTACTTCCCCTTGCCTTGGTCCAGACTCCATTCAATGTCTTCCTCTCACCTTCCATGCACAGTGGTGCCTCGCTTAACGACATTAATTCGTTCCAGCGAAATCACTGTAGAGCGAAAATGTCATAAAGCAAAATAAAAAGCCCATTGAAATGCATTGAAAACTGTTCAATGCATTCCAATGGGCTGAAAACTCACCGTCCAGCAAAGATCCTCCATAGGGACGGCCATTTTCAGTGCCTGTGCAGCGAGGAACCACCGAGGTGGTATCTATTTATCTACTCACATTTTTACATGCTTTCGAACTGTTAGGTTGGCAGTCGTCCTTCTCTTTGAAGGAAGAGCCTAAGATGGATTTATCACCCTACTGGCCAGGCTAGAGGACCAGGAGAAAGGACCAAACGACCTTGGCAAAATAAGTGCCACCCTCAGCAGAGTTGTGGAAGCCAAGGTAAATATTATGGCTCAGTATTAATAGACTGATGTGTCTTTCAACCCTAGTACACCTTGATCCTGAAAACGGAGAACCACCAACAGACGAACCGAAAAAGCCAGATCCGGCCCCAAGTGAACCAGGTATGTTGTCGGAACCATCGGATATTCCCTGGGGAACATCTAAATGATCTTGGGAGGTCCACACACTGTTCCTACATCCTCATTATAGGTTTGTATACCACACTCACACATACCTGGATCTCAGGGATGGGCATTCAACGATTGGCAGGCTTCACGTTGCTTTTTATGGCTGAGGAGGAACATTGCAGGTGGCATAAACTTGGCCCAAGGGCCCAATGTGGCCTTGATTGCACAGGGTCACTTCCCAGCCCTCTCCATGGGGAAAAGGAAGCTTCCTTCTCCTTCCTCAAACTCATTGGTCATTTTCCTCCAAAACATTATGGCCGTATGGTAGATCATTGGTGTAAGACAGTCCTTTAGTTGTTGTAGGTTTTTCGGGCTGTTTGGTCATGTTCTGAATGTTTTACTTCCTAATGTTTCACCAGTCTCTGTGGCCGGCCTCTTCAGAGGACAGGAGTTAGAACTCTGTGTTCTGGTGTAGGATAGTATGCATACAGAAGGAGGAAAAACCTTCGGAACACGGCCAAACAGCCCGAAAACCCAAACAGCCCGAAAAACCTACAAAAACCATCAGATCCTGGCTGCGAAAGCCTTCGAGAATATATACTACTGTTCTTTCATCCAACTTTGAAGGAAATACCTCTCTTGCTAAGTCTGTTGTGACTCAACGGCAGGAGCTGTGAGTTGACCTGGTCTTGACGGGACCCAACAGACTGAGCAAGTGAGAGGAAATGGCCTTCCTAAAGCTTGGCTTGTGTTCTTGGCAACTGTGAATGAGTCCATATCCCAAACTAGGTGTGCTGAGGAACTATTGGTTCAATGGCTGTTGTGGGTTTTTCGGGCTCTTTGGCCGTGTTCCGAAGATTGTTCTTCCTAACGTTTCGCCAGTCTCTGTGTCCTTCAAAGGACAGCCAACTATTGGTTTGACTCGCCAGAGGAAAGAATGTGGTTTTTCCCCTTTCACATTTTTATTTCGATGTAAGGGAGAGAACCCACAAGGAGAAAGGTCTTCATAAGAAACAGTGTCAGTTTGCCTGAGGGTTTTACCATAAGAACGGGCAGAAAACATGCAACAGATGCTGCCAGCTTAAGAACAGGCGACCTTAGCAGTAGAGATGGGCACAAACCGGTTTGCCCCAGTTTGTCCTGGTTTGACAAGACAGCAGCACGGGGGCTGCTGCTCCCCTCCCCACCTCCTCTGACTCAAATCAGCCTGTCACCAGACCCAGCATGCTAGCTTCCTGCACTTCCTCAACTGATCTTCCAGTCCCAGCAACAGCTCAGGTTGGGACGAACTGAGACAAACGGGTTTGTGCCCACCTCTACTTACCCATCATCTCTTTCCTCTCCTGGAGGCAAAGACTGTGTTAGAGCTTAACACCCTCTTGGCTAAGCCAGAGGGCCTGGAGAAAGGACCATCTCGGGCAGAGAGGTGGAAAACAAGGTGGGGCATAACCTAGCTGGCATCCTAAGACGATGCTGTGTGTCTTTCTTCCTTAGACCCTGAGCCAAAGGAAGAGCCACCTACTGTGCCAGAACCAGAGAAGCCAGGTATGTTGATTGCACCATTAGGTATCCCAGTCTAGACCTCTGCGACTTATGAGATCCACTGAGTCAACCCACTTTCTCACAGCCTCTCAAGGACTAAATCTGGGCTCCATTCCTGTTCTGAAGTGGTCAGGTCTTTGGGTTTGGAAGTCCCTTTCAGGGGAGGATGATGTTCAGAGCTTGTGAAATGAGTGGAGTTGGGGATAACAAAGTATGTAACTTTTCCCCCCATTCTTTTTCATTGTGGTGGTAGCCTTCCTATGAGCAGAAGAGACGGTCAACTCTGTTGCCCGCTTCTGATGCGACACCGTTGACACCAAGCGTGTTATCCCTTACATCTCAGTCCCACATAGTTACAAAGCTAATCTAAGCCTCCATGCTCCGATGCTTCGAATAGGACATGATGTTCTTTGAGCGGTTACCATTTCCTCGGTTCTCGCCCTCAGTTTCCCTTTCTAACTTTCAAGCTGTTAACATCTTTTCTTAATGGTGGGTATTGTCCCCCATCCCTTTGAGCCATGTGCTCTGGCCATAAGAAATGGTCTTTTCTATCTAATTTTAGGATAGGCTTTCCTATCAAATATATTCCCTAAAAAATCACAACTCCTCAGTAATCTTTTATTTGAAGCTTGACTTTTACCTGGCTTATTGCTTTACAGCATGCAGCAATAAAGTGGTTTTAAAAGCCCACGGGAAACACGGTTGCTCTTTATTCTGCTAAGAAAGGACCTCCTAACAGAAACTTCCCAAACAGATTTTATAATCTGAATCAATCAAAAAATCAAATAAATAAATAAATAAATAAATAAATAAATAAATAAATAAATAAATAAATAAATAAATAAATAAATAAATAAATAAATAAATAAAATACCACCCCAAAGCACTTCAAACACTCTCTGGGTGGCTCACAAGTTAATTATGCAAGCTACACATTGCCCCCCACCCCAACGAGCTGGGTACTCATTTTATCGACCTTGGAAAGATAGAAGGATGAGTCGACCTTGAGCCGGCTACCTGGGATTGAACAGCAGGTTGTGAGCACAGTTTTGGCTGCAGTACAGTGGTGCCTCGCTTAACGATTGCCCCGCACTACAATGAATCCACTTTATGACGATCTTTTTGCGATCGCAAAACGATGGTCTAAATGGGGGAATTTCGCTTTGCCATGATCGGTTCCCTGCTTCGGGAACTGATTCTTCGCAAAACCATGATTTTTAAACAGCTGATTGGTGGTTTCAAAATGGCCGCCAGGTAATTAAAATGGCTCCCCGCTGTGTTTAGGGACAGATTCCTTGCTATACAGGCAGCGAAAATGGCCACTGTATAGAGGATCTTCACTGGACGGTGAGTTTTTACCCCATTGGAACGCATTGAATGGGTTTCAATGCATTTCAATTGGGGTTTTATTTTCGCTTTATGATGTTTTCGCTTAACGGCGATTTTCCTGGAACAGATTATCTTTGTTAAGTGAGGCACCACTGTAGAACTATGGCAGGCAAGGAGTTTAAGCAATTTGGATGGCATGCTGGACGGGAGAAGGGATGACCCATACCAACCAGTCAATTCATTTAATTTTGTTCCACCTGGTGGGAGAAGCATCTTTTGCCTTGGCCCATCAGGGCTACATGCGTAGCACTCACGTACATTTCCAAAAGGAAGAAAGGAGATTGCACCAGCCCTGATGATGGTGGTGATAACGATCGTGCTGCTGCTGACTTATTTTTAAAAGCAAATGCTTGAAAAGTTGGGCCCAGCACTTGAGGTACAGGAGAGAGTCTATCTCTCCAAAATGTTGAGGAGCTACAGGCTGTCTATCAGCATCTCAGCTTTTGAGATGTCTTTGTTCCACGCCTCTCCGTTGGCCGCTGTCTAGGCAGCTCCTAGGAAATTGTGAAGGCATTTGCTTTCTGAGAGCCCTATCCATGCTAAGCTCCAAAGGTGGAAGACTGGCCATGGCCAGCTGGGGATGGAGACATCTGGGGTATGTCCAGTGATGGCCCTGCCTCGGTTTCCCTATTGGGGACTGGGCTGTACTGCATCTAGGGTTAAGGGATAGAGACCACGGACATGAACCTGTTCATCTCAGTTCATCCCAGTTTGTCCCAGTTTATAAAGACAGCAGCACTTGGGTCTCCCTCTGTCCTTTGCTCCACCAGCTACCCACCTGGCCCAGTGTGCTTTCTTCCTGTGCTCTTTTCCATGAGTGGGGAAAGGAGATGAGGAGGTGGAATAAGCAAGCGAGGTGAGTGGCTGGTGGAGCCAGAGGAGGAGGGACGGTCAGCAGCACCACCAGTGCGGCTTCTTTGTCAACTGGGACGAACCGGTTCATGCCCATCTCAGGGACTATAGGTTCCAAACTCACTCCTTTGACATCTAAAAGAACTCAGGCTGGTACAAGCATTGTGTGAGGCCATTGCAACCTGTGAGGTGACAAACACCTACAACATATAAGTGTGGTCTTGACTTCCTTATTTTTTACTTTTTAATAAAGCTGATGGGCAGCAACCCTATCCTTCTTGTGATCAATTTCTTTAAGCCAAAGTGGACAAAGAACAGCCTGCTGGCTGCGTGGGATCTCCTCAGGCCCCTTGTGCAGTCCTCAATGCTCCTAAGTTCTCAGTTCCTCCTCGACAGAAGGGCTAAAATGCAATAGTAAGTGTCCACCTCCTTATTTTTTACTTTTTAATAAAGCTGATGGGCAGCAACCCTATCCTTCTTGTGATCAATTTCTTTAAGCCAAAGTGGACAAAGAACAGCCTGCTGGCTGCGTGGGATCTCCTCAGGCCCCTTGTGCAGTCCTCAATGCTCCTAAGTTCTCAGTTCCTCCTCGACAGAAGGGCTAAAATGCAATAGTAAGTGTCCACCACGGGACATGGTGGCGCTGCAGGTTAAACCGCAGAAGCCTCTGTGCTGCAAGGTCAGAAGACCTGCAGTTGTAAGATCAAATCCACGGAGTGAGCTCTCGTCGCTTGTCCCAGCTCCCGCCAACCTAGCGGTTCGAAAGCATGCAAATTCAAGTACAGTGGTGCCCCGCATAGCGACAATAATCCGTTCCAGGAAAATCATTGCTATCCAGAATCGTCTCTATACGGAACGAAAAACCCCATGGGAACGCATTAAACCCCGTTTAATGCATTCCTGTGGGGAAAAAACTCACCGCTATGCGGAAATCCTCCATCCGGCCGCCATTTTCGCTGCCCGGTAAGCGAGGAAAGGGCACGAAAATGCTGCGGGTGGCCATTTTTCCTGGAGGCCATTTTGGAACCGCCGATCAGCTGTTTTCTAAACATCGCAATGTGAAAATTGGTAAGCGAAACGCTTACCGATCATCGCAATGTGATATTTAGCCATTTAAAAAATTGCTATGCCATCGCTTTTGCGATCACAAAATCCGCATCGCTATGTGGATTTATCATTAAACGGGGCACTCACTATGTGGGGCACCACTGTAGATAAATAGGGACCACCTCGGTGGGAAGCTAAACAGCATTCCGTATCTAGTTGCGCTGGCCACATGACCAGGGAAGATTGTCTTCAGACAAACGCTAGCTCTATGGGTTGGAAACAGAGATGAGCACCGTCACCTAGAGTCGGACACGACTGGACAAATTATCAAGGGGAACCTTTACCTTTACCTAAGTGTAGACCCATTGAATCAGTGATGATTTGGTTAGTCAATACCTATGCCCATTCCATTGATTCAGTGTGCCAACTTTGGTTGCCATTTGCCATTTGCTACTGAATTTCAGCCCATTATCTGGAGCAGAGATGGGCACGAACCCATTTGACCCGGTTCACCCCAGTTTGTCAAGGTGACAGCACAGCTGCTGCTGCGGCTCCCCTCCTCTGCCTCCTTTTGCTCC